TGACACCAATGATGGGGCACTATTCCTCCCACTGACACCAATGATGGGGCACTATTCCTCCCACTGACACCAATGATGATTCAGTTCAGCCAGATAATACGGCGGGGCGGGGCGGGGCGTCCCCGCATTCACTATATCCGCTCTTAAAAATAAATGAATACAGAAAAAGAAATAAAACAATTTAAACAAAAATACATAAAAAAAAAATCTATATATAAATAAAAAAAAGCTAACAGAAATGGGAAAAAAAAAACAAACAATTTATACAATAGCTAAAAATAAATCTAGAAATACATAAAAATAAATAAAATATATCAATAAATAAGAAATAAAAAATATAAATAAATAAAAGATAAAACAAACAAAAATACCAATTTTGTTAAATAATTAAACAAAAAAAACAAACCAAATAAATACATAAAAAATACATTTAAAGAAATAAAAAATACCAATTTGTACAATAATTGAAATAAATAAAAAAAAACAAAAATAAAAATGTGTGCAATCATTTTAAACATTTTTTAAAAGTGTTTGTCGGAACACATCACCCGCGCAAATCGCTTTTCTTGCTCCGGATCTTTGATATTACGCCTCGCGTTCGATCGATGACTCCCGGGATCATTCCTCACATGGTTAGCACGGCCATGCAGCGATCGATCGGTGTACGTTTCTCATCAGAGCGAGGCGCTGATCGTTACCGGCAGCAGGTCCCGGATATGGGAACCAGAAACGATCTCTCCTGCGCTCCCCAGTCCCGGATATGGACACCAGAAACGATCTCCCCAGTCCCGGATATGGGAACCAGAAAGGATCTCTCCTGCGCTCCCCAGTCCCGGATATGGGAACCAGAAAGGATCTCTCCCGCGCTCCCCAGTCCCGGATATGGACACCAGAAACGATCTCCCCAGTCCCGGATATGGGAACCAGAAACGATCTCTCCCGCGCTCCCCAGTCCTTGATATGGAAACCAGAAAGGATCTCTCCCGCGCTCCCCAGTCCTTGATATGGGCACCAGAAAGGATCTCTCCCGCGCTCCCCAGTCCCGGATATGGGAACCAGAAACGATCTCTCCCGCGCTCCCCAGTCCCGGATATGGGAACCAGAAACGATCTCTCCCGCGCTCCCCAGTCCCGGATATGGGAACCAGAAACGATCTCTCCCGCGCTCCCCAGTCCCGGATATGGGAACCAGAAAGGATCTCTCCCGCGCTCCCCAGTCCCTGATATGGGAACCAGAAACGATCTCTCCTGCGCTCCCCAGTCCAGGATATGGGAACCAGAAACGATCTCCCCAGTCCCGGATATGGGAACCGGAAATGATCTCTCCCGTGCTCCCCAGTCCCGGATATGGGAACCGGAAATGATCTCTCCCGCGCTCCCCAGTCCCGGATATGAGAACCAGAAACGATGTCTCCCGCGCTCCCCAGTCCCGGATATGGGAACCAGAAACGATCTCTCCCGCGCTCCCCAGTCCCGGATATGGGAACCAGAAACGATCTCTCCTGCTCTCCCCAGTCCCGGATATGGGAACCAGAAAGGATCTCTCCCGCGCTCCCCAGTCCCGGATATGGGAACCAGAAAGGATCTCTCCCGCGCTCCCCAGTCCCGGATATGGGAACCGGAAACGATCTCTCCCGCGCTCCCCAGTCCAGGATATGGGCACCAGAAACGATCTCTCCCGCGCTCCCCAGTCCCGGATATGGGAACCGGAAACGATCTCTCCCGCGCTCCCCAGTCCCGGATATGGGAAGTCAGGACTAGAAGAGGCGGCGTGCGTTATTGATCCGATATCGATCGACATACAAATGAAATGCTGCGATCGTTTGTTTGTCAATAACCCGTACTGGAAGGCAGCGGGGACAGCGCAGAGATGTGATCGCCGTTGGCGGCTACATTTTATTTGCACCCGAGGCTCCGACGTATCGATCACCAGACCCCGCCCCCTCATAATTGATAAACATTGACATAAAATGACAAAAATTAAAGGATATTAAATATAAATAACCAGATTTTTAAAGCTGGAAAGTATTTTTCTTGTAATTTGCCTTCCCTCATTCCTCCCTCATCGACCTGCTCACGGAATTTTCAAATAAAACCTTTCCATTTTCATTACACTGGGTCTCTGTGCTTCTCTATGCAAAGCAGGCAGATCGTGGCTGGTGGGTGGGACTAGCAGGGAGCTGTCCATAGCTCTGTACTCCTCTCCAGAGCCCTCAGTCCAGATACAAGCAGTGGATTGGAGTGTGTGGTACGTATGATTTTGCTGGTTGAGTGGCAGTTTTCCTGAATTCTCTGCTAATGTGTGCCAACTGCAGCGGGGCTATTTATCAGCATTGCCTCACCAAAGATGGCCGCTGAGGTCATCAGACCGCTGTTACCCCGCTGACACCTACAGAGGGTTCAGAGGAACAAAGTTCCTCTCATCCTCCATTCCCTCAGCTATACAGCGCCACCAACAGAGGGGAGGAGAAACTACAACTGACAACAACCGGACCAGACAGATAGAAGGACTGGGGACCCCATAGAGGAGCACACTGGATGAGGAGCAGACCAGACCAGGCAGGAGGACTGCGGACCCCATAGAGGAGCATACTGGATGAAGAGCAGACTAGGCAGGAGGACTGCAGACCCCATAGAGGAGCATACTGGATGAAGACCAGACCAGACCAGGCAGGAGGACTGCGGACCCCATAGAGGAGCACACTGGATGAGGAGCAGACCAGACCAGGCAGGAGGACTGCAGACTCCAAAGAGAAGCATACTGGATGAAGACCAGACCAGACCAGACAGGAGGACTGCGGACCCCATAGAGGAGCATACTGGATGAAGAGCAGACCAGGCAGGAGGACTGCGGACTCCAAAGAGAAGCACACTGGATGAAGAGCAGACCAGGCAGGAGGACTGCGGACCCCATAGAGGAGCACACTGGATGAAGACCAGACCAGGCAGGAGGACTGCGGACCCCATAGAGGAGCACACTGGATGAAGACCAGACCAGGCAGGAGGACTGCGGACCCCATAGAGGAGCATACTGGATGAAGAGCAGACCAGACCAGACAGGAGGACTGCGGACCCCATAGAGGAGCATACTGGATGAAGAGCAGACCAGACCAGGCAGGAGGACTGGGGACCCCATAGAGGAGCACACTGGATGAAGAGCAGACCAGACCAGGCAGGAGGACTGCAGACCCCATAGAGGAGCATACTGGATGAAGACCAGACCAGGCAGGAGGACTGCGGACTCCAAAGAGAAGCACACTGGATGAAGACCAGACCAGACCAGACAGGAGGACTGCGGACCCCATAGAGGAGCATACTGGATGAAGAGCAGACCAGACCAGGCAGGAGGACTGCGGACCCCATAGAGGAGCATACTGGATGAAGAGCAGACTAGGCAGGAGGACTGCGGACCCCATAGAGGAGCATACTGGATGAAGAGCAGACTAGGCAGGAGGACTGCGGACCCCATAGAGGAGCATACTGGATTTAGAGCAGACCAGGCAGGAGGACTGCGGACCCCATAGAGGAGCATACTGGATGAAGAGCAGACCAGGCAGGAGGACTGCGGACCCCATAGAGGAGCATACTGGATGAAGAGCAGACCAGGCAGGAGGACTGCGGACCCCATAGAGGAGCACACTGGATAAAGAGCAGACCAGGCAGGAGGACTGCGGACCCCATAGAGGAGCATACTGGATGAAGACCAGTCCAGGCAGGAGGACTGCAGACCCCATAGAGGAGCATACTGGATGAAGAGCAGACCAGACCAGGCAGGAGGACTGCGGACCCCATAGAGGAGCACACTGGATGAAGACCAGTCCAGGCAGGAGGACTGCAGACCCCATAGAGGAGCATACTGGATGAAGACCAGTCCAGGCAGTGGGACTGCAGACCCCATAGAGGAGCACACTGGATGAAGACCAGTCCAGGCAGGAGGACTGCGGACCCCATAGAGGAGCACACTGGTTAAAGAGCAGACCAGGCAGGAGGACTGCGGACCCCATAGAGGAGCACACTGGATGAAGACCAGACCAGGCAGCGGGACTGCGGACCCCATAGAGGAGCACACTGGATGAAGACCAGTCCAGGCAGCGGGACTGCAGACCCCATGGCAGCAGGCTGGAACGCGGTGAGGACAAAGGGGTACCAGAATGCAGGCCAGAGGTCAGGACAGGGAGCCAAGGATGATGTACAGGAAGACAATCTATGCCAGACACAGGCTGAGACCGACCTCACAAGAAGGGGACCCAGACAAGGGGGAAGTCATGCTCAGGTACTGGACAGGTCCTTTAAATAGTCACCTCCCCTTTAGGAGAGACACGCCTATGATGTCATCACTTTCAACGCCGGATCCGGAAGCACCAACCAGCAGGAGAGGGAAGTCTAGGAGTGCAGAAGCAACAAAGTAAACAATAAAAACCTCAAAAGTGATCCAATACGTTTCCATTCTGTCCACAACTGAAAAATACAAATCTGGAGTCCCCCTTTAAGAGACGATGTCAGCTGAAGTTCCGTTCATGAAGTCATCGCTGGAGGTGGTCCGGAGGTCCACACATGACACCCGCGTTACGTGAATCCCCCCACTCAGAAACACCCCGCAGCACCAGAGGAATTACCGCCACGATGTTTGTTTATCCAACCGTATTATTGCGCTGATGCAGCTCGCCGTCCATCTTATTATCGCCGTTATAAATGACCGCGGGCGACCATAAACCGTTCCTTATGTATCGTTGTTCGATCAATGGCTGGAAATGGCTGTCAGACCCCGTCATCGTCCATCCCCCCAGGAGTTCACATTCTAAAAGCTGAACCCAGCGGAGGGGCCTGCTGGGGGGAGGGGGGTGATGATGAGGGGGGAATGATTAATGAGGGTCTGCGGGCAAATTGGGAAGATTAATTAACTCCAAACCGAGATCGATCCGTGCCGCGTCCATGGAGACAACCGACAGGAAGTGTTATGTAGTAGACCAGAGGACACCATTCATGGAAGGTCCTACTGGAGCCGAACTCCGGCCTCCCCTCCAGGCTTGCACAGGTGTACCGGCTCCTCCCCTCCAGTCTTGCACAGGTGTACCGGCTCCTCCCCTTCGGTCTTGCACAGGTGTACCGGCTCCTCCCCTTCGGTCTTGCACAGGTGTACCGGCTCCTCCCCTTCATTCTTCTACAGGTAACCAGCTCCTCCCCTTCAGTCTTGCACATTTGTACAGCCGGTACACTTGTACAAGACTGAAGGGGAGGAGCCGGTACACCTGTGCAAGACAGAAAGGGAGGAGCCGGTACACCAGTACAAGATTGAAGGGGAGGAGCCGGTACACCTGTGCAAGACTGAAGGGGAGGAGCCGGTACACCAGTACAAGATTGAAGGGGAGGAGCCGGTACACCTGTACAAGACTAAAGAGGAGGAGCCGGTACACCTGTGCAAGACTGAAGGGGAGGAGCCGGTACACCTGTGTAAGACTGAAGGGGAGGAGCCGGTGCACCTGTGCAAGACTGAAGGGGAGGAGCCGGTACACCTGTGCAATATTGAAGGTGAGGAGCCGCTACACCTGTGCAAGACTGAAGGGGAGGAGCCACTACACCTGTGCAAGACTGAAGGGGAGGAGCCGCTACACCTGTGCAAGACTGAAGGGGAGGAGCCAATACACCTGTGCAAGACTGAAGGGGAGGAGCCAATACACCTGTGCAAGATCTGACAGGCGGCGAGGAGTCGCCTCCTCGCCACCTACTTTAACCCCTTGCAGCTCACCATTGCTGGGCACTTGCAGAGCGGCCCCATTCACTTGAATGGGTCTCGTTTGGTGGTCGCTACGCCTGCTGAAAGCAGATGGGAGGCGCTATCCATGTCGCGGTCGCAAACCATCGCAGCTTCTGTCCATCCCTGGCCACTGCTTCTGCAGCTAAAAGGAGTAGCGGTTGAGGGGTGGTCACTACGACTGAGCCCCACATGGGTGAAACGCGTTAGGGCTGGGCTGTCAAACTGGTGGCCCTCCATCTGTTCCGAAACTACAAGTCCCATCATGCCTCTACCTTTGGGAGTCATGCTTGTAACTGTCAATGCCTCATGGGACTTGTAGTTTGGCAACAGCTGGAGGACCACCAGTTTGACGTCCCTGTGTTAGAGGGTCTCTCTGTGGAAGGGGAATGAGAGCTGAAGCCAAGACAAGTTCATAGTGCGCCGGTTCGGAGTATGGACGGGCGCCATTCTCTAGCAGTCAAACCGCCCCCCAACCACTAGTGTGAATGAGCCCCTAAAGCTCGGTTTATACGCAAGAGCTACAATGTATCGGAAGGTAGATATTTACGGGATGACGTGAAGCCGGAGAAATGTATCAATTCATCACTCTCCATAAATATTTCAGAAAACGAAAAAAAAATACCCCCACGCTTGTCTAAATGGTTTCAGTCCCGAAAGCCGAGATCTTTACTTCCATAATTACGATGAATCAGAAACGATTTCCCCGAGGTTCCAGTAAACGGGACCCGGGAACCACCAGCCGAATATTTACAGAAGGTAGGAAAACCTAAACGCGGTAATTATTACCTACACACAGGAACAGCCCAAACCACAGGCAGGCAGGAATGTTGAGGAGAACTCTGGGGAACCACAAAACGGGGGGAAAAAAAAAATTCTACAAAAAAAAAGAAAATTGCAAAAACATGGGAGGGGCCTCGTGGTACAAAGGGTTTATAAAGAAAAGTTCTAGAAACAACAGACAACGTCTGTCAGTGGAGGATAACATTTGTGCATGGGGTGCCTCTAACAGTCACGTGCCGTCAATTCGGGTCCAAGGCCTAGCGACTTGATGAACAAAAGTTCTACAGAGAGGTCTATTTTGTGCCAGTCTTGCAAGATCTTCCAGTGTCATCCCCACAGCTTTGGTTAAGGTGGCCAATCATCTAGTGCCTGGTCTCCCTCTTCACATGGTTCCTTCGATCGACCCAAACATCTTTTCCCTTCTCGAGTGATGTGTCTCTTCTGAAAGCGTGACCAAATTCAGACAGCCATAACTTCATCAGTAGGACAGCCGTAACTTCCTCAGTGGGACAGTTGTAACTTCATCAGTAGGACAGACGTAACTTCCTCAGTAGGACAGCCGTAACTTCCTCAGTGGGACAGTTGTAACTTCATCAGTAGGACAGACGTAACTTCCTCAGTAGGACAGCCGTAACTTCCTCAGTGGGACAGTTGTAACTTCATCAGTAGGACAGACGTAACTTCCTCAGTAGGACAGACGTAACTTCCTCAGTAGGACAGACGTAACTTCCTCAGTAGGACAGACGTAACTTCCTCAGTAGGACAGACGTAACTTCCTCAGTAGGACAGACGTATCTTCATCAGTAGGACAAACGTAACTTCCTCAGTGGGACAGTCGTAACATCATCAGTAGGACAGTTGTAACTTTATCAGTACAACAGTCATAACATCGTCAGAAGGACAGTCAGAACTTCATAAGTAGGACAATCATTACGTCATTAGTAGGTCAGTCATAACTTTATCAGTAGGACAGTCGTAACGTCATCAGTAGGACACTTAAGACTTCATCAGTAGGACATTCGTAATGCCATCAATAGGACAGTCATAACGTCATCAGTAGGACTGTCGGGGATCGTCGCGCCGCTGGTCCCGGCGCAGGCGCAGTACACCTCCCTGTACGCGAGCGCCGGGACTTGGCCGACCGCGGCAATCAGGTTCGCGCATGCGCAGTAGTAACCGCGGGCGCGCGCCTGGCACCAATGACAGCGCAGGGCGGGATATTTAAACGGCCCTGAGCTGTCATTCAGTGCCTTTTGGTCTTTTGTATCCTGTGAACCTGTGAACCTGTCTGAAGTAAGTTGCTGACCCGGATTGTGCCCTGACCTTGCTGTTTTCTCCTGTTTTGACCCTTGCTTGCCTGACCTCTCTCCTGTATGCCCCCTATTGGATCTGACCTGCTGTTGCTGACCTGGCGTGTGACCCGACTATTCTCTGCCCGCTGCTCTGTACCGCACCGTCCCAATAGTTACCGACCCGGCTTGTATGACCCTGCTCCTGCTCAGCCATCCATCCATCCATCCGTCCCTCTCTACGGGGTCTCCAGACCTCCTCATACCTGGCTCTCTCCCGTGGGAGCCCCTGGCGAATACCCCTACCACTGACGGGTGTCCTCAGTAGTCACGACCTGGTCCTGGGGTACTCCAAGTCCATCCCCACCATCAGGGGCCCTGGTGAACAAGTACCCTGGGGCTTAGACTCCGTGCGCTGGGAACATCCGACCAGTGGAGTGCTAGTGGTACCGCCGGGCGGTCCCTTACAAGGACATTCATAATGCCATCAGTAGGACAGTCATATTCTATTTTGTGCCAGTCTTGCAAGATCTTCCAGTGTCATCCCCACAGCTTTGGTTAAGGTGGCCAATCATCTAGTGCCTGGTCTCCCTCTTCACATGGTTCCTTCGATCGACCCAAACATCTTTTCCCTTCTCGAGTGATGTGTCTCTTCTGAAAGCGTGACCAAATTCAGACAGCCATAACTTCCTCAGTAGGACAGCCGTAACTTCCTCAGTGGGACAGTTGTAACTTCATCAGTAGGACAGACGTAACTTCCTCAGTGGGACAGACGTAACTTCCTCAGTGGGACAAACGTATCTTCATCAGTAGGACAAACGTATCTTCATCAGTAGGACAAACGTAACTTCCTCAGTGGGACAGACGTAACTTCCTCAGTGGGACAGACGTAACTTCCTCAGTGGGACAAACGTATCTTCATCAGTAGGACAAACGTATCTTCATCAGTAGGACAAACGTAACTTCCTCAGTGGGACAGTCGTAACATCATCAGTAGGACAGTTGTAACTTTATCAGTACAACAGTCATAACATTGTCAGAAGGACAGTCGGAACTTCCTCAGTGGGATAGTCATACCTTCATCAGTAGGACATTCGTAACGTCATCAGTAGGACAGTTGAAACTTTATCAGTAGGACATTTAAAATGTCATCAGTAGGACAGTTGTAACGTCATCAGTAGGACAGTTGTAATGTCATTAGTAGGACATTCATAATGTCATCAGTAGGACAGTTGTAACGTCATCAGTAGGACATTTAAAATGTCATCAGTAGGACAGTTGTAATGTCATCAGTAGGACATTCATAATGTCATCAGTAGGACATTCGTAACGTCATCAGTAGGACAGTTGAAACTTTATCAGTACGACAGTCATAACATCATCAGGACAGTCATAACATCATCAGAAGGACAGTCATATCATCAGAAGGACAGTCATATCATCAGAAGGACAGTCATATCATCAGAAGGACAGTCATAACATCATCAGAAGGACAGTCAGAACTTCATAATTAGGACAATCATTACGTCATTAGTAGGTCAGTCATAACTTTATCAGTAGGACACTTAAGACTTCATCAGTAGGACATTCGTAATGCCATCAGTAGGACAGTCATAACGTCATCAGTAGGACATTCGTAATGCCATCAGTAGGACATTCATAATGCCATCAGTAGGACATTCATAATGCCATCAGTAGGACATTCATAACGTCATCAGTAGGAAAGTCATTACGTCATCAGTAGGACATTCATATTCTATTTTGTGCCAGTCTTGCAAGATCTTCCAGTGTCATCCCCACAGCTTTGGTTAAGGTGGCCAATCATCTAGTGCCTGGTCTCCCTCTTCACATGGTTCCTTCGATCGACCCAAACATCTTTTCCCTTCTCGAGTGATGTGTCTCTTCTGAAAGCGTGACCAAATTCAGACAGCCATAACTTCCTCAGTAGGACAGCCGTAACTTCCTCAGTGGGACAGTTGTAACTTCATCAGTAGGACAGACGTAACTTCCTCAGTGGGACAGACGTAACTTCCTCAGTGGGACAGACGTAACTTCCTCAGTGGGACAAACGTATCTTCATCAGTAGGACAAACGTATCTTCATCAGTAGGACAAACGTAACTTCCTCAGTGGGACAGTCGTAACATCATCAGTAGGACAGTTGTAACTTTATCAGTACAACAGTCATAACATTGTCAGAAGGACAGTCGGAACTTCCTCAGTGGGATAGTCATACCTTCATCAGTAGGACATTCGTAACGTCATCAGTAGGACAGTTGAAACTTTATCAGTAGGACATTTAAAATGTCATCAGTAGGACAGTTGTAATGTCATCAGTAGGACAGTTGTAACGTCATCAGTAGGACAGTTGTAACGTCATCAGTAGGACATTTAAAATGTCATCAGTAGGACAGTTGTAATGTCATCAGTAGGACATTCATAATGTCATCAGTAGGACATTCGTAACGTCATCAGTAGGACAGTTGAAACTTTATCAGTACGACAGTCATAACATCATCAGAAGGACAGTCATAACATCATCAGAAGGACAGTCAGATCATCAGAAGGACAGTCATATCATCAGAAGGACAGTCATAACATCATCAGAAGGACAGTCAGAACTTCATAATTAGGACAATCATTACGTCATTAGTAGGTCAGTCATAACTTTATCAGTAGGACAGTCGTAACGTCATCAGTAGGACATTCATAATGCCATCAGTAGGACATTCATA